CTTTCAAAAAAACATACCTGGATGCTGTCTGTTCTGATAGCAACTACTCAATGAACATGTGAATCACTTACCACGTTAATCCATTAAATTGCCATGTGTCAGGGAGTAACACCTTCTTACAGTAGCTTTATGTAACTCTGCTAAACAACTTTATCAGTGGTTTTCTCAAAACCGAAATATAATTATTTTGACCAGTCTCACTGCCCTAAAATTTTTGCTAACTTAAAAAAATTTTTTTTTCACTGTATAGATAGTTACAATAGCAGGATCTCTGTAATGGGTAAATACTGACACACAATCTTCTGCTCTTGTCTGTTCTATGAAGCAATACAATTATTACCTTCAAAGACCATCAAACTGTAAACAAATCATTTTGTCTCAAGTTTACATAAAGCTACATAGATGGTAAATCTTTCCTAACATTTCTTTATTCCACTGTCTTGTGTTTTCATGTTGGAAATACTTCTGCTTTTTCCTCTTGAGTGCCAACTTCTTACTAGAATGACTTCTTAATGTAATATGTTTACCTGGAATGTATTTTAACTATTTTTGTATAGTGTAAACTGAAACATGCACATTTTGTACATTGTGCTTTATTTGATGTGGAACATATGCAGTGTGATCCAGTTTTTCCATCATTTGGTTGCGTGACCTAGGAATGTTGGTCATACCAGACATAAAATTAAAAAAGGAAAAAAAAAAAGACCACTGTTTGTTTTAAAATTTTTAATGTTTTTAGGAGTATGTGCTGTGAGGTGATCTGGAATTTGTCATTTTTTTGTCAAACTGTACTGCTCCTATTTATTGTAATGTAATAAAAAATAGTTATTGTGAGTTTCTGTCCCAGTTTCTGTTTTCTCTTCAAGAGTGGCAGTGCCTCATCTCTGTAACCGAGTATCCTGTGAATTGCATGTGTTTGGCAGTTGTTCTCAGGTTATTTCTTGTACTTCTCCTTGCCTGTGACAAAGCTGTTGTCCTTGCCCACTGGCATTCCCTTCTTCCGAGAGGGGTTGCCACACTTTGACAAAATGCTTTCTTGTACTGATCCATCTCCTCTGGTGCTGCTTTTTGCATTCTGTGCTTTGCAATGAGCAAAGCCTCACTTCAGGTGAGGCTGCACCTCTTGTTCACTGGTGCATGCTCCTTGGCCTCTGCCATCTTCCGTTGTGCCCCAGAGACCTTGTTTCCATCAATCTAACAGCAGACTTGATGTGAATTAGTCTACAAGTGTGAAATACTCTGAATATTCTCATGCCCAGGTGCACATTTGTTTTCTTCTATCAAATGCCTTCCATAAACTTACAGAAAATACGAAAGACATTCTTTAATACTGATTGTGTCCTATGGGGGTAAAAAAGTGTGAAACTGCTACTGTTCTGTAGCTGACGCTTTGGCCCTTTGTTACCATGTCTGGATAATCTTTTATCGGTTACTGAGAAGGGTAGGTTAAATTTTGTATTTAGAGGTATTTGTTCAGAATAGGTTTAACTGACACATATTCTAATGTAAAATGTGGAAGGCTTTCAAAACCAGATGAATCTTCCAAGTAACAGAGAAGCTAACGCCTTGAATTGGCATTCAAACACACAGCTATGGGTAAGAAGCGCTATCTGTTCAACATCTCCATCAAAGTGAAACAGAAGAGAATTACATTACCACAATGCAAAATTGTTTCACATGTGAAGTTTTGGCTCAAGGAGGTCAAAAGTAGTTATGAAAAACCTATTACCCACATAATACACAACCCCAATCTTTTAAGGGACTAAGGGGAAGCAAAGTCCTAATTTCTACTTTAGATAAGTTGGAAGGATTTACGTTTCATTTCTTCTGAGGTTACAGCTCTTTTATTGTTTATTTTCATGAATTTGTATCATTACATGCAAAGTGATTAATACCAGTTATTTATTGTCATCACTGTAGTAGCGCTGTTTCAGAGCTCTGTATTTTCTGAGAAAGTACAAAGCCTCCAACTCTTTTATAACAAATTCTCCTCGTGCAATTAGTTGCTTAATTTTTTCAGGATCTTTCACGTCTTTATTTTTTAGAAAAGCTGCTTTCAAACGGCTTCTAAAGTAGTCTGCTCCTTTGGGATACTCCCTTCCAAGGTACAGCAGCTTGAAAACAAAAAGATTTTTTTTTTAATAGATGGAGTGCACAGTGAAATAGTTTTGTCTAGTTAAGGAAAGCGCTTGTGGCATTTAAGGCACTTACATTTTTGTATAGATTCAACACTTCACCTCTTAAAGAATTGGCCATTCTCACATTTCAATGAACTCTTTATTCCCGTCTGATTTATTTTGTTTTTACCTGAAGAACAACCAGTTTGACATTAGCTCTCCAGGGGAGTCAGCAAATCCCAGCCTCATCCTCCAGAGGAACTGCACCGTTCCCAGCCAGGCTCCTTCACCTTCCTGAGCCCGGCTTGCTCTCTGTTATTTTCTCATTCCACTCTCTGCCTCTTCTGCTTTTGGCTTCTTTTAATTTATTTTATTCTGTCTAGTTTCTCCCCTCCCCTTCCATCTGTCCTCATCTCAAACAGGCAACAAGAAGCCCCCAGAGCCTTTCCGCTGCGTTAACACCGGTTCATCTCTGTGCTGCTCCCGCTCCCCTACGCGCTGCCCGTCCTCGGCCTGGCAGCTGCTTTAGCTGTGCGCTGCTGAGGAAACACATCTATATCCGTGTGTGCGCACGGACACACAGCAGTAAGTACAGATATATAAAAATAAAACTTCAGGAATTCCTGCAACTTTGGCGTTCATAAACTTTGCTTTTTTAAAAATCGTTCACGTGCATTACGAACTGAGGCCAGTGCATACGGGCAAAACGTCATGTTGAAAAATATAATGCGTCAGAGATGAAGCGCAACGGTTTTTACTGTCCTAAATAACAGCACCCGGAGCCGAACCCAGCTCCTGCAGGGGCCGCAAC